TTTAGCAGGAATGGCACAGTACAGTAGTTTGTGATGCTGAGGTGCCAGCATCAATTTCTGGTGCGGTAAATTCTGTAGCATCTTTATGCAAGCATGGTGATTAAATGTGATGGCTGCACTAAATAGTGGTCTTGGTCAGGTGGGAAGCAGTCACTTTTTTTTTTTTTAAACTCTGAATTAATACTTGCTGTGTAACTGCAGCTGTGCTCATAACAAATTTGCAGACATCTCAAATGCTGCCCAGAGAGCGTGACTTGTCAAACACTCCGAGTAGGTCAGGCTTGTTTCTCTTTTGCAGTGAAACAGAATTTTTCTGCAACGCTGCAGAATGTCTTTCTGTTATTTAATTAGCTTAATAACAGGCGTCTGGGTATAGAATTTGGCAAATGAAATTTCTGAAGAATGTGCACAGTTTTTAAAAAAAACAAAACAATAACAACAACAACAAAAAGTATTTTTTTTTCTCCCCAGTATTGGTTCATTGTGGATTATTTGTGTCATTGCTGTGGCACAATCTAGTTACTAAAGCACTGGCTTTTGGTTTTGATCTGGAATGTCTCCGTTGCTGTCCTTGTGATTTTCAGAGGTCTTTCTTCTATTCCATAGGAGTGTTTTAGTTAGAAGTAGTAACACGTGTATTAGTTCTTCCAGCTACAAGATGATGGTCCTTCTGAGCATAAACTCACCCACCTGCCCTGCTAAGGAAGAATAGTGACCACAAGAGCCAAAGAGAAAAGCAAAACTACTGCTCTTCAAGAGCAACTCAGTGGTTCCAAAGATGAAGTGGGCATTCTGGTAGCAGAGCAATTTCATTAACAGAGGATTACCATGGAGAAAACGACTGTCCAGCTACTTCCATGAGAGTACTGCAGCTTGCTTTCCTCCAGATAGTTTCTTGTTTCCTTCTGGGATGCTTTAGTTGTACATTTTCTTGCCTTTGTATCTTCCACTCTCCTACTGGGGAAGCTTACTTAAACTTCGTGTTGCTGCGTAAAGGAGAAATTTAAAGGAAAGATAGCTAATTGAGTTTATTATTAAAGCTTATCATCTTTAAGCATACAGACATTTTCTGGGCACAACAATGGCACCACACAGCCTCTTCCAAGTCCCCTGTAAGTGTGCTTTTTTCCCTCTGTTCCTCAGGTACATTGAACATAGCCTCACAGTCATATTCCAGGAGGATTTAAAAGTGAGTTTTGATCCAGGTGCCTTTCAGGGTTCTTTGAAGTCACAGACTGTCCATGTGAAAGCAAAATATACAAGCATCCATAGGACCTTAGGACTCAAATTCAAATGATTTCTGGCTTGGATGTATTAAAAAGGATACATGAAACATAGCATTTTTTTCATATGCAAAAGCATGTCCTTCTTTTCCTGAAATCCTATGATTTTCCTCTTTTTTTTTTTTTTTTTCAATTAACACATTGTTTCAGTACATTTCAGTGGTTAGGCTGCTCTCCTGTATTTAAATCATCCTTCTATTTACAGTGGAGCGTGATGACAAAAATAACTGTGGTCTCATAGTGAATCAGTGGAATTTTCCTGCATTTCTCCCCTGATGACTCGGCTGACTCCTGGGCAGCCTGAACGCTTCTGCATTTTTGCTTGCAGGAATGAGGTAGTTTCCCTCCTGCATTCCTGTATTTTTCCCCATCTTTGAGTCTGGCTGGGATTTGCTTTTGTTTACTACGCAAACAGTGGCGGCAGCGTGGTGTGTCGGGTCAGAGATGGCCGGCTGAAATTAAGGTTACTGCATGCTTTATGGAGAGCGGGCTTAAAAAAAGCCCACAGCCTGATGGCAGCTAATTTAAATGCATGTATTTAGAGGAAAGGTGCTCCAGATCTCCTCAGGAATTGCATTATCAATTGCATTTGGTTGTTTTGCTTGCAGCAGTCAGTTTCTGCTCTTTCTTTAATGAAAGAATAATATTTTTTTTTTTTATGCTGGCCCTCTTTTCCTTCCTTCTCTTTTGGCACAGGGAGGCAATCATTGCCTGTTATGCTGAGGAATGGGTGTTGTTTCAAGAAATGGCATTGTCGCCAGTGACTGCAGTTTTGTACCCTCAGATAAAATACCTATTCTGCGAGGAGTCATATAAAGATATGCTGCAACAGCTCATCCTCCCTTCCCCCACTTCTCCTTCAGTTATCAACAGTGCGTCAGTGGAAATTTCCACCCTTTGCTAATGTGAGAGAAAGCACAAAGTTGCAAAGCAGCCTTTTGAGAGGGAGGGGAAAAAAAATATTGCCGTTTTAGGAACACAATGAAAAGCAGCATATGACTTGAAAGCAGAAATGAAATGAAATTCTGGAGAACTGGGAATAAAAAGGGATGGCAGAGAGCACAGGTTGCAATCCGAACGAATGCTCTTGTGAACCAACTGCTTGGGGAAGGGGGCAGGTGAGTGGTGGTGTATCATCAGCTCAAATTTCTCCCCCCGTTGTCCCTTTTATTACCTGCAACTGATTAAGAATTTGTAAGGGTTCTTCCAAAGGAGGGGATTGAAGTGGCATCTGTTAAATTTACCAGTGGCTTTTAATGGCTTTAACAGAAGATGCGACTTTCCCTTTTCAAGGGGTGTGCATCCTTCAGAAGTTGCTATGCCGCAGTTTTATTGAATTGTCCAAGATTAAAGCTCGTTTCTCTCCCTAAACTGTTAACCAGGTGATATCTCCTGTTTACTGGTCTCCAAAAAATAACAGGCAGCTCAGCTTTCCAAATAAATTAAGCTCTATGTGTCAGGATCTGCAAGGGGGACCAAGCCCACCATATTTCCTCCAAATCCTTGCTAAGGTGAGCTTTTTCTGCAGCTCGTAGCAGCCCTCCTGCTGCTATCAGAGGAGCAGCACCTTAGCTGACGTGAACTGGCACCGCTCCCTCGGCTTCTGCGATGCTCGGCCACAGCCCGTGCCAGCTGGGCACCTCTTCTGGAGGACTGGTTCCTTCCAGGCAGGCTGCAGGGAGATTTCTTGCTGTCGGGCCCCTCACACATGAGAAATTGGTGCTTCGATCTGCTTTTTCTAAGAAAGACTTCAGACCTGAATTGTGGCTATTAATATACATGCCTGCGTAAGAGGTTTGGGATTAGGACGTCTGGCTGAAGGGAAGCTTCTTTGCAGCGTTTTCCACGTGTGGATTCCACCCTGTGCAGCAATCCAGCACACGGTGCTTAAATCATTCCTGACCTGGTGGGTCTCCTCTGTGTGTAGTATATCTTGGTGTTACTTGGGCAACACATTTAGTTGGGTGAAAAAGAACCCCATGTGGGATAAGCAGTGTGAAAAACACAAATCTGTTTGTTATTGGTGACCCCACCTCCTTTATTTCCTCTTCAGCTTCTTGTCTTGGGGACTTAATCCTCAAAGATTGCCTTTACCAAGGGGGACTGTGCGGTGCAATTTTCGCCCTATAGTTTCAGAATCACAGAATTGTGTTGGAAGGGACCTTGAGAGATCATGGGGTCCAACCCCCCTGCCAAAGCAGGTTCCCTGGAGCAGGCTGCCCAGGTAGGCGTCCACACGGGCCTTGAATATCTCCAGAGAAGGAGACTCCACAACCTCCCAGGGTAGCCTGTCCCAGTGCTCTGATAAAGCTGCCTTTGTAAGAATCTGTACCTCCAACGGCACAAAGTCCCACTAGGTATACAGCTCTTAAATGAAACTGTGATGCTAGATCCTGCTTGAGTTTAAGTGATTTAGGAATAGGGTCCTTGGCAAATATGTGGTATGACTTCATTTAGAGGATGCTACTTTGAAATTATACTGATGCTTCGTGGGGAGGTGTGTTTGCGTGGACTAGAAGGAAAGGAGAACATTAACAGGAGGATGCGTAAAAATTACAATTAAATATCTGAGTGGTGAGTCGTCTCCTGAACACCTATCCTTCAAATTCCTGTTAGTCTTGGAAACAAGGTGGATGGTTAGATGTCTTTCATGAGATTTCTGAGGCAGTTGTGGTGTCTTTTTAATAGCATCGTTAGTGCCATGCCCAACACAGACTGACTTACTATAAAGTTTTTTGGTTATGGCTCTATTGACAATGGTAGTTTATTCACAGAATTTCAAGGGAGGAGGGATGGCCAATGACACGGCTTATGTATCAGCATGGTACCTGGCACTAGGTCACCCATAACTTGGAGGAGTGGTAAGCATAATGTTGCAATGAAGAAGAAGGTGCAGTTCTTCAAAGCAATTTATTGCAGAAGTGATCTTAGTGACCTAAGATATTAATGGGGAGCAGCGTTCTCCTTTCTGTGTGTAGGGGTAGTTTTTTTATTCTTTGTAGATGTCAAAGGTAGTCATGTGGTGGACACGAAGCGCTTACCTGGTGCGGTGCATTTTGTACGTGCCGTGTATGTATGGAAGGAAGACCTTTTCAGTCCTGCCAAGATCAGCAAGACAGTAAGCTTGTCAAGTGCAAGCTGGCATTTCCTACATGCGTCTTCAGCTTCTGCCCTCAGATCGAAAATTTAAGCCATGTTCACATTGGAGAGGTGCCTAATTTGGCATAAATCCATCTCTTTGGGTTTATTTAAAAAAAAAACAAAAACAAAAAACAAAAAAAAACCAGTAATGTACATTCAGCTCCGAAACAGAACTTTAAAGAACTGTGTCCGTATACATGTAAGCTTGAGGTGCTTCACACTGACATTTGTTCCCCAGAGAAACAATGCCATGAATTCAAAGGAGATCAAGTTTTTCCCCCAACTGTTCAAATCAAGATGTGTAGATGAATGGAGTAGGTACGAGTAAAGTCTCTTTAATGTCCTTGTGTAAGAAGTGCTGTGCAACAAAGAAGAGTTCAGACTGAAGCTGCTTGAACTGAACTCTTTGTGTTTGAAATCAAAATAATACCGAGCTTTGATTTAAAACAATTTTGGTAGAAATATTTAAGGAAAAAATAGAACTTTTCATTTAAGAAGTCCCACAGAACAGCTACTTGAATTACAGTTGTAGTACAGGTATTTTGTTTTATTGTGTGTGTGTGTTTCTCATTGCAGGTATTTTTTGGTAGACTTAGAGGCCCCACCTTCGATTGTATCGACCATGATGGATCATTTAGGACGTGATATTGATGTAATTAGACGTGCTTTTATAAAACATCCCGTGTCAAAGACAGAAGAATGCAGTGGCATAGTCCCAGTCAGCTTTGAAGACAAACTAACTGCCAAGAAGAAATGAATCTTTTTAAATTGCATGTTTGAAACTTTTAGAAGATTTTTTTTAGTCCTGCTTTTGAATACAATTGTGATAACTAATGTCCATCAAAAATTATCAATTTTAGCCATATTATGTTTGGTATAGTACACTATCTTAAGTTATTGTAACATTTGAGGTTTCTTTTTTGTTTAAAATAACTTGAGTAGACTTAATCTGTTTGCTTATTTTGATATACAACTCTGAAAATTGATTTTCTTTTCCCTTAGAGCATTACATTGATAAGATTTATCCATCATCAGAATGCTCAAAATAGCATTCTTTTCCAAAGACAGATTACTTAAGAATGTATATTTACATAAGAGATTAAGAAGCCTACGGTGTAATATAGCAGTATAGTATGTGATCTGTTTGAGGATTTTTCTGCTTGCTTTTGGAAAAAAGGTAATAAAAGTGTGCTTAAAAATAAAACTTGACTCCTTTTCTGGTCTTCAAAAAAAAAAAAAAAGTATAAGAAAAAATAGCTTACACTGCTAAAAGACATGCCGAACTTCTCTTTAAGGTTTTATCAGAACTCTGTTCAAAGCACAGGTAAAGAATTATTCAAATAATTGTACGAAATTATACAAAAAGCCAAGAATTTCCAAGTGGCATGTGAAAGAATAACCATACGTCTATATGAACAGAAGAATAAAAAATGTTTTATTTCACTATCAACCAGGCCCAGGCTGAACATTCAAACTGAGAAAAATGTCAGGAAAGAAGTCTTGATGTATATTTTGCCTTTTTTTTTCCTCATGTAAAAACAGGACAAACAGCAATGCATATGAAAGCTTATGTTACTGTCATATGACCTCCTCTTGGTCTGACGTACAAATTCATTAGTTTCTAGAGGATTTCCAGATTTTCCCCATGTTACTGAAGGAATGCACTTCCCATTTATCCCACTGAAGGTGTGTATATGTGTGCGTATGGTGATTTTTGTAGGAAAATGAAGTTGACATCGATCTGTTGTTATGCATGGAGAGTGTTCTTTACCTGAATGAGCTTCACCAAGAAACCTTCACTCCAATGCTAAATGATGCCAAAGGGAGGGCCCGTCCAGCAGCTGAGGTCAGATTCCCAGGGAAACATGATGGGTCTCATTGGTGTGACTGCTCTCCAGCGTGCTGTCTCTTCATGCTCTTTTTCATGGATGATGCTTTTTTTTTTTTTTTTTCTTGGATACAGGACTTCAGGGGGAAATGAAACTAACTTTTCTTCAGAGTTTTTTCTTTTAAGGAAAAAGTAAGGTAGAAAAACGAAATTTTCTTTCTGTATGTCCATATTTAGGAGATGTGAACGTGTGTGTGTGTGTGTGTGTGTTTTTTTCTTTCTTCTGTTTTTAAATCTGCTTTTAAGAGCAGACTGTCACATTTTGTCTCTTATTTCCTGGAAAAAAAAGTGTACCTTTAGTAGAGTAGGTACACTTCACTTTTTCTGTAGCTGTTGCCAGTATTGATCATGTGGCTGCTATGTACCAGTGCCTGTTCCAGTGCTGCTACTATCAATAACTTTTGCTTGTAGGGCAGACCTTTTTTCTATACAGGTGTGAGCTTAGCTGGGAGGAGCTGTAGGACTGAATGTTTGTGCTGTGAATTGGGATCCCTCAGCTGTCATTTTTCTCTGGCCTGCTGAAAATTCAGACTGCCAACTTAGAAAGCACAAGCTACAAATAGGGAAATATGCAATGCTTTAAAGAACGTGCTTTACTTGAGTTTCTCAAGTTTTTCTTAATAGAACACAAACAAAAACCTATAGCTTAAAGTCAAATCGAGATTCCGATCTTTTGTCATGGTTCCAGTGTTTTGTGGCATCAGGGCTTCATTGTTTTTAACACCTACATAATCACACAGCAAATTAATGATGTTTTTTTTTTATAAAACAAGTCCGGTTCTCCCTTGTATCACCACCTCTGCAAGCTATTCACCTACACCTCCCCACCTTCTTTTTTTTTTTTTTTAATAAATAAATGGCTTAGGTGACCAAAGAGAGTATTAATTTGTTCCTCTGATGTTTTATTCTTTAAAAAAAACTGCTTTCAAATCTAGCTTACAGCAATTTCCCTCTGGATAGGACTTTGGGCCCTGTCGTTCATTTGAATAGGAGTATATAAGCTTTCAGCCTTGCAAAATGAAGAAGATTGAAAGCAGAGGCTGTACACATACAAATGTTGTATGCTTGTCTTTATTCAATTCTCTTTAGTGTAGTATTAAATCTTGCACTTAATTTGTTCCAATTTTGAAGTAGGTGCCCGCGTTCAGTAGGAAAACCCTAGATGCTCGTTAGGGGTGAGCGTGTTAGCTTATTATCTATGGTACGTGTGATTTGTTGTGAATTTAGGACCTTAGGTTAGCCAGACTTTCATGTCCCTGTGGGTCCCATTTCTGATCTGAACAGAGGATGCCAGAAGACTTGGGCCTGGCTAATCCCAAGAACAGATCAGAACCAGTGAATCTCTTGGAGCCTCAGCTGACCCCAAAGAAACGTGGCAGTACCCACTCTGAGAGACAGCAGTCCCCAGTAGGCCACAAAACAAAGTATGTGGAGATGTCACCAATCCAGTTCTCCTCTGTTCTGAAGTACTGAATGTTCAAAAGGGGAAAACTGAAAATCTTTGCCTTTGGGATGGAAATAGTGACCACCGAATGTCACCGGCCACAAGCACTGCAGCGCTTGCAGGCCTGGCGCGTGGTTACACAAGCACTCATGCTTTCTCAGCAGCAGGATTTATTTATAAAAGGTCTGCTGAATAGCTGGCTCTTAACTGGGTGTACTATTTTCTTCATAATTGATAGTTTCTAATATGAACAGATTTTTTTTTTTTTAATAGGGATTGGGTGGGGGAGGATGAGGAAGGAGTCTTGGGTTGCAATTTGTTTAGCCCAGTCAGCCACCCAGACTGGTAGTTAGCTATTTCAGGAAAGTAATGCAGAACAGTGTGTGCATTCTCTCTTGGTAGCTATAAATGCCGGAATGGGCATTGGATTATGTCAGAAGATTTGAGCAGTTTTGGTTTTGGGCAGCCCGAGTTGTCCCAAACTATACCTTGAGCAGTCGCAAATTCTCCCTACAGAGAGAGGGGTGATCTCAGCACATCTTTGAGATGTGTTGGGGGTTCACTTTGCCTTTCTGATAGCTGCTCTGTCCCACTGGACTCTTGATCTCCAAGAATAAAATTTCAGGATGCTATGTGGTGTCAGTGGAGAGCCAGGAGGGTCGGTGCAGCTGGACCGTGGCAAAATAATAAAATGTCAAACTCCACTTTTGGCATTCCCGAAGGCGTAAACAATTTGAATACCAGTACCTTAAATTTTGTTTATCTGATAATGAAGCTCTTCCTGCCTTTGATCATGTTCCCAAGTGAATAAATGAGTAGTTTTATACTCCTAAATGCTCTGTTTTTCTTGTGGACTGTGGAGATGCACTGAGGTTGGTAAGTATTAAAGTAACAACTGGCAGTTCTCCTGCCTCAGAAATGTTTTCTGTTCTCTCTCCTACCTTCAGCAAACAAACGAGCACAAGCGGTTTCATGGTGAAGATCCCAGGCACATCTTCAGTCACTCATTTTCCCCGATTTTCTCACTCATTTGAATCTTGCACTGGGCTGCTTTCTCCGGCAGGCTGAGGGCACTGCAGTGTCAAAGCACTTAGCACTCCGCTTGCAAAGCCCCTGGTGTGGCTTGACCCTAGGAAGTTTGTGCATGCAGCGATTTGCTCCCACTGACCCAGAGATCAGTTTCTGTTTAGTAAGTTGCTACATGGTTGTGAAGCAAGACTTCAAAATTTAAAGCAGTCCTGTTAAAGTCACAGATTTTTTTTTTTTTTTTTTTCCTGAGACTTAACCCATCTGCCACATTTTACTCCTTCTCAGAGTAGCATTTAGGATCTGTCCAGCACTGCCAGTGTCTCCGGCACAAATGTTCAAAAATCATGAGGCAAGCCCCACAGATATTTTGAAGCCATGGCATGTAATCATGGCCTTAAAAATAATGAGCATTGATTCAAATGCGAGGTTCTTTTTTATTGGCCTTTTAGACTTTTGAGCTTTTATGATTCACTTTTTTTAAACTTTGTGGCTGGCATGATTTTCACATAACATCTGACTGAAGAGCATTTAGAATAACACAGCTATAGCAAATGAGATCCTTGATAAATTCATTGGGGCTGGTGCTATGGCCCTACACCCACTGAAACAGAACAAGGGAAATTAAAAAGGGGATTGTTATTTTGTCCTGCCTGCAATTTTGAGCTTCAGATAACCGTAGAAGTGCGAATTGACGCGGAGCCAAAACATGCATTTTTCCCAACTGCTGCACAAAGGGAAGATTAAAAATGTGTTATTTTCTGTGACCTATGTAATGTGTTGCTTTCTTAGTGCTGCTCCAACAGACCTTTAAGCACAGGCAGGCTGCAGCTGGTGGACGCCGTTGGGCTAACGCCGCAGCTCTTTGTGCAGTGCTGCGGAGGAGTGGGAGAGTCACCACTTATTGAGTGCTGGCTAAGAGGGGGAGTGATGCATTGACAGATTCCAGTGCTGGAGTATTCAAGGTTGCCTCCTAAAAGCATTTTTCAAGGGGAGGTAACGCTTGCTGTAAACCCGGGAGAGTTTTCATCCCTGTTATTTTTGCATTGTGCTTAGGCTGCCAAGCCAACCTTGTTTGGAGAGTGCTAACTTGCCCACAGAAATTCTGGCTTATTAAAAGCTTCAACACGTTGACATTGGGACAGTTTTGGGGGATGGTGCGGTTCCACTGAGTCGGTAAGAGGCCTCTCGCTGAGTTCTGTAGGAACAGAGGTATCCTGACCTTAAGGTTTACTTTCTCCTAAGATCAAGCCAGCTTGGTAGGGCCGGCTTCACCTTGAATGCAGCCGTGGGGTGAGGCAGGGTGGAGAAGGCTTTTCGTGGCGTCCTCTAATCTCTCAGGCTGTCTGCTTTTTGTGTGCAACAGGCATAATGGAAATGTCACACGTAATCTGTGTCATCCGTATGCATTTGTACCTGAGAGAGAGAGAGGGATGACTGGGGAAAATGTAAAGAGCAGGATGTTTATTATCTTATTAGCGCACGGGCATCGTTCCCGTTCTCTTGCTCAGCGAGTGGGAATGTCAGGCAAGAAATACACTCACTGCTTAAATGTCAAGGAGGTAGGCACCTCCGAAATGCTAGGATCCATAGAGTGGCGTGGAGGGGTGAGTGGGGTTGAGTATCTCGTTCAGAAGTAGTGGTGATAATGGGCCACACCGGGTGAAAGGGGCAATGGGGAAGGGTGTCAAAGGAGCAAAGGGTCTGAGTGGAGAAGCCGATGGGACCTGCGCTAAGTACAGGCCACAGCGGCATGTAGGAATGCTGGGGGGGGGGAAAACCAAGCGCATCCCTGCCTCCTGCCCTGAAGTAATCTGTGTGTTTGCACAGAGGAGCACTGGAAGCA